CGACCCGGTTCGTGTTTTAATTCCCTGGATGGATCCCCTGGCCTTGGACTCTACCCTTCGTCTCGGATTACTCTTGGATTTCCAACATGGATTGTTCGCCTGGATTCACTTCCCCTGGACACCTGCACTCCTTGGACACGCCCCCCGTCTCCAGACCCTTTTCCTGCATGACTATTTTTCCCCTTGTGTCTTCACTATTCTGGATCGTGTCGTCCGCATAGGGCCCGGAAAGAACTGTTCGTTACATACTCACTCACTATGCTACATTAACCCCCACTACAACCCGTTCCTAAAATACGGTTAGGGAGAATGAAGTTCAGTATGTGGCAAAGGCTCCTCAGTTCTGTTCACGTAGATCAGAACGGAAAAGAAAGAGCGAAGGGAAACACCAGAGTTCAAGGTCGTCACCTCTTTTCACATTTCCACAGCCACAGCTCGATGTTAACAACCACACAGTAAAGATGACAGATTATCAATCTCCAGTACAAACTGGGAAAGAAGCAAACATGTCCACATCCCAGACAGAGATTCAGAAAAACGCTGAGCATTCCAAAAACAGAAGAACAGAAATCTGAGGTGCAGGCACAAAGTGGTTCCTGGTCAAATGATTGCAGGAAGAAGTCACAAATTCCACATGGTCTCGAAGCTTTCCAAAGCTTTCATAACATATACTGTACATGAAAGTTTAATACAGACAGGTGTCATTAACGGGTATGTTAACTGATTCAAATTAACAGGAACGGTGGAACCCACAGCACACTGTCAACTGAAAACGGACTGCTTTGTACTTAAGACAGCCATCCGAGTGCATTACACAGAACTGTCATCTAGTTTACGATAATGGGACTGAAGGCAACTGATGATAACAGATCAAACGGAACAGCCACCACAATGACCCCAGGACTGAAGATGCAAGCCGTATGCAGATGTTCAGAAAGGTTAACCAGGAGGAAAACCTAAGCACTTCTACAGCATACACACACATCTTCCACTCCAGGTGTAGGCGTTTACAATGCCAGCTTCCACATTCATAATTGATATTAACATTCATACTGTATACCCCACTGGTGGATTTCACAGCACAGACATACTCAAATTCATAGAGGCATTCCTTTTAACCTGTGGCACCAGGACACAGAAAGCCTGTCATCCCAATGTGTTGCATTTAGTGCCTTGATATACAGTATGATTCTACTGACATTCACGGGGAATGGGAGGAAGTATACTTTATCCTCTCTTTCTTCAATGAGGAACACACATCGATGGAGGCACTGAGCCTCTCTCTCGATAAATATTCAATGTAAGGATGTACAGTATATATATTCATCACACTGTATGTGAGCATGGTACAGTTATCCAAATTCAGGGAGCCCAGCATTTTAAAGAGGTCACTTTACATCATCAAAGGATCCACATCTCCTGAATGTGCAAAGACAGGGCTGATCAGGTCTTGCTCTGGATGGCCTGGAAGTGTTCCATGTTTTTTTTCCTAAGGCAGTGGTTCTCAAACGTTTTGGACCAAGTACCACTCCTGACCAAACCAATGCATCTACGTACCACCTACAAGTCATCTTCTCATAGGAACCCCAGAAAATCTCAATGGCCAACATGAGCATGCGCGTACTGCACACACACACTCACACACATATAATAAAAATAGCACCGAGCACTTAGTTAATTTGGATCGTACCACCTTGTAGTCGTTTTCAGGCGCTTGCTAACACTAGCATTGCTGTCTGTGTCAGGTTCAGCAGCAGAGCTAGAGTCGGTGGCGGATGTATAACCGAGGTATTCATTTTCGATCAATTGTTCTGTCAGTGAATGTGGTGCTGCTGGAGAAATATTTCCCCATTTCCCCTTAAAAGAGAGCCAGGAGTCCATCTCAGAAGAAGTTAAAAGAAGTTTTTTTTTTCATGCGCATGGGAGCAAAACACACAGAGATGCTCGGTGTATTTTTCTCAAAGTAATTAACCTAGAACAGTCCTTAAATATTTTTCTGTTATCCATCACGCTTTCCTGTGCTTACAAGATTTGTAGTGTTCCAAAATCACACACATCCTCCTACTTCCCTATTTGTTAAAGATAACCCTTTAATACAATTTGTCTCTTAGGTGCGTAGCATGCATTCCAATACAATGGTTTATACATAGTAGCCCTTGTGTCCACTCAAGTATTAGTGCGCGCTGTATCGATGTGGCTAAGTACGTAGGCTGCATATTTGGCACATAAACTAATTTTATTATTAATTTTATTTATGATTAAGTAAATTACAGCTGAAAAATTTACATCATTTTTAATTATTCGATTTTCTATTCCCAATTTTTCAGTGCACACAACAAATTTCCAGGGTCATCTAGCATACCACCTGGCGGAGCTCCACGTACCATCAGTGGTACGCATACCACAGTTTGAGAATGACTGTTTAAGGCACCTATCAATTACATAACCAGCAGGTGCACAGTCAGAGATGTGCATATCTTGTTCTCTCCCAAGCTGGTGCAGAGGTCGCTGTCAGAGAAACGAGTCTTATGGAAAGCTGCAGATTCCAAACTCAGTCATGTGTATCATTTTTAAGAAACAAACAAAAAATAATTATCATGGACACTTTAGGTAAAAGTAAACAAAAAAAGCTACAAGCCTGAAACCAGTATGCCTGCCTTTTCAACCATCAGATTATAGCTGTTTCGGCCTTCTTTATAGAGTTACAAGACAAGGGCCTGTTTTAATGTCTTTTAAAAAGATAATAAATGTTACCGTGTATAATAAGCCATTCCATCCATCTTGTTTGGATGCTAGTCAATTTAAAAATCTCAAGTAATGGTTTGATCCATGCTAAAAAGAGAAGAAAAGAAACACAACAGTTTGGCTGTGGAGCCTTTTTCGGGCGTGAGAAGAAGATTTAAACACCCAAAGAAGGCTCCACGGCCAAAACGTTGTGTTTCTTTTCTTCTCTTTTCAGCTTGGAATAAACCTTTACTTGTTCCTTTGCAGCCTCTGATGCTGATGCAGATACAGGCGTACCTACTTGAACTAATTTAAAAATCTCTTCTCGAATCCCGAGGAATCTTAAGATTAGTGAGAGACAGGTTCGTTTTTCCCTGCTGCTGATGAGTTGTTGAGGTAGTAATCCTGCTCAGTACAAGAGGAAGCACAGGTTCAGGCATTTGGTGTCTGAATATTTGGTGTGACGCGCCCATCTGTGGGAGACTGATTCCCCCTTAAGGGTGTAGTTGAGAAGTTAATTTCAGCTACATGGCTGCCTTGCTTGAGTTATTTTGTGTGTCTCATTTTTACCCTGAAACCTGCACTTAATTTATGTTTGCTTTCTTGTTTCCTCATTGATCCTGCTTTGATCCTAAATCACTTACTTTTGTAGGGTGTCAAAAGGCCTGCCCGATGTGTCACAGAGACATTGTTTTCACTAAAGAAGAGGGAGACGTGAGAGACATTGGACATGGATGCCATCATACAACCTGCAAAAGACTGCGATCAATAAGAGATTAAGGTATGTGGAAACGTTGTAGCAGTGATTAATAACTCCTCAGGACATAATCTCAGACTAATGTCATGTTTAACTATGGCTAAGCTAGAAATCAGACAGGAAAGGACAGTAATTCTGTAAACTGACTTCATGAATAACATTTTTGCTCAAGTTTGAAAAAGGCTGTAATCTTCTGCCCTTTGTCTTCTTGTTAAAATGGGAGGGGGGAATCTTGTTCTGTATGTATGGTGTGCTTGTGTGTAATTTAACTCTCTCTTTTATAATTTTTGATTGCAGGTCATCTGAAGTTCTTTCTCTGCTTGGGTGTGACATTCGCCGCAGTTCGACAGGGGCAATTTAATTTCCCATTTCGTAGCAAAGGTGCAGAAATGTCAATTTGTCCAAGAGGATTTAATCTGAACCCAGAGGGTCCCCCAGTTAAAAGCATTTCAAATGCCACATCTTTCAAGACCCGACAGAGCAAGAATATTCATCACTCAAAGTAGGCTATTTGCAGAACCGATTTGGTTTCAGGACTTGTCAATCCTAGATTTCTCGCTCGTCCAGAAACAGTACGTCTCACTCAAAGTGTCTTTCATCACCAGCCTTCTGACCACTACCACTGTCATCATCATTAGAGACACACGCAGAATCTCTTCGAAAAATTCATGGAGCTGTATGCATTTACAGACTGCTATTTGGCATAGATGGAATGGGTTATACACAATGGTAGAAGATATACACTATACAGCAGAATAAAATGTGTTTTTAAGTACAAGACACATAGATCGTGTTTGGATTTGCAATTGTCAGTGTCTGAATATAGTCCATCAAAAGCATTCTTCAAACCATTTCTGTGTCCCTATCATACACGTACTGGATTAGATAAAAGTCACATCCAAACACACACTCATGGTATTGAGAGAAAGACTCAAGAACCTTCATACGGTATGGAAGGCTGATGATCGCTATTTATTAGCCTGTGCTATGGCCCGCGGGTCTACCTGTTAAGCCATCGCAATGACAAGTGATTGATGAAGGAAAACTTCCAATGTTTTCCTGTCACAAGCAGACGATACTGCAGATCAGTCTGCATAGGATGTATCGGTCTTCTTTTGGGTGTGATGACGAATAACATCAAAATGAATACCGAATCGTATTTTTGTTCCAGTGCCATATCTTTGCTAAAGAGCGTATGTTGTAATAAAATACATTAAACGGCACATTACAAAACTTACATATAATTAGCATAATTATGTACAGCAATATACCGGCTGCAAGCAAAGGGAATACGTGAGCACAGTACAGTACATCCTACCTTCTCACCATTTTTTCTGCTCAGGATACCACTAGTGCGAATGAATTTCTTTTTTTTTCCCCGATTGTTATCATTACAGTGCATATTTTTCAAACATGCATTTACCCTGCTACATCCTTGCCGTACATTGTAAATAAAAAGCCGGGCATGCCCGGTCCCCAGAAACATGCGGAACGGATAAAATTAAAGAGTGGTTCTCACCTCGCAAATATCTCTCCATTTTTTCTCCAAGGAGCTGCTCCAGCGCTGACGTCACGCGCCCCACTCTGCAGCACAGCAAAGAAGCCGGTAGCTGCTACCGCAGGCGCACGCTCAGCGCTGGGGAGAGGGGGAGGATTATAGCGTTTTTCAACGGGGTTTAAACTGCACAAAAAGCAGCATGAAAGGTATCTCCTTCTTAACCGGCGAGATACCTGTGAGATTCGCCAGCTGTTGTCAGCATCCAGACCTCGTCAGGCCAGGCGATTCATCTCAGGAACGGCGAACATGGCTTTCACGCAATCTCTTCACTGCCAGTGTAGCGTGTTATAAAGAGATTGCGATCGCCCAGAGCACGTCTTTTAAAATAAAAACAGCCTCCTAGAGCTGAGAACGAAAATCCAATTTAACCCAGGTCTTTGTACTCTACCTCTGTGGAGTTTCCATTATTATTAACAAAAAGAAGGCAGAAAAAACTTCCTAATGATTTCAGAATATCTGATATACAGCCTTATATTTTAGGCCCATATAAAATCCTTTTTTCATCAAAGAGGCAGCATTTGTACTTTTATTATTTTTTAGGAGGCTGAGAACTACTGTATATGAGACAGCTCCTTATGTCTGTTTATTTTTTTTATTTTGTTGTTTAAATTGCCTCATGAAAATAAGATATACTGTTGATAACCTGTAGCTTTCTATGGAGAACTGAAACATTTCTGTACAAATAATGTTGTTTTTTTCCCCATAGGGTATGTGTTCATTACTTAAATGCATGGTTTCATTTATTACATGTGCCAAATACTATATTAATCCAAAAAGATGTTCATTTATGACGACCAGTCTTCATTCCCATAATATATCTGAATTTTGGCATACTCCTCTCTGATTACTATACAGTAATAATCAAGTTTGAAATGAGGTGAATTAAGTTAATAGGTACCAAAAGTGGGTACCTTCATTCAAGATCCTCCCAAATAGTTTTTTATTGTTAGGAATACTGTCTCAGTTCCCATGGTAGCATACAAAGAAACACAGTTTAGAAATCAACATTGTTTCCAAAGGACTCTCTGGAGTTGTCTATTGCTGGCCTTTTGGATTGAATATTTTCATTTGCAATACTAGTAGCAATGTCAGTACTGTACTGGTAGTAAGAATTGCAGTGCAGGTAGTAACATTTTGCTGTGTATGTCAATAGATGATGTCACATCACTTCACAATCACAGCGGTGGTCCCACTGATCCCACAACCTTACATGGAAGCGTAACCGTTTGACTCTAGGCTGGAGTGTCTATCTCTGCCAGCACAGGCTTGTCTAAGAGAACTGCTCCAATTCGCAGCACTACTAGGAAACATAGGTCTGGTCTAAATCAGAATGGAATGATTTGAGATAGAGAAGTTCTTATTGAACAATACTGACCTTAGTAATTAAACTCTGATATGTAACAAGATCAGAATCCCTAAGAGTATGAAAACCATTGCATAGTTGCATACAGAGTTATATACTGTAATTCAAACGTGATGCAGTTCTTGCTGTCATTTTTCTTATTAGTTCTTTAAAGAGCACTCTGGCAGACACTGTAACATGGTTTTAATTGGACTGATTCATTGCATCCAGGTATTTATACTGTGCAGTATGTGACATTGTGCAAAACAAATTATTTACTGTGCAAAAATGAGCAAATAATGCACAAGGTAATGCATCGGCTTTCTTGAAAAGGCCGTGTAATAATCAGGACTAACCTTTCATTTGTCACTGAGGTAATACCACCTTTCTCCTGAAAATAGGTCAACAGTACAAACTCTTCATGAATGTTTTACCCACCTGAATATTTCAAGAGGACAATGTACAGTATCGATGAGGCCATCATGTTTACAAAGTGCACTAACAAAGAAACAGCAGACACTGTATATATCGTACAGTGCATCATACCACAGCAGACAAATATACAGCCATACTGAAAATTTGGAAAAATAATAAAACCAAACATGGTCTATAATAAAGAATCAGATCATAACAATCAGATTATTGTCAAAGTTGTAGTTTATGTACCCTAGTTAGTTACAACCAATTATAATTTAATTAGACCAACCAGCCTATTGCAAGAAATATGAGTGACATTCACCCACCCTACAAAAATGCGTTTCATCAAGACATCTACAGTACAAGTGGAAGTGCATTGTATCTGACAAATACAACAGATAGATAGACAGGTCTATTTGTCTACAGGTAGACAGAAGCAGCCTGCAGTAATAACACCAAAGATTCATAGACACATGGCAATCTGCAGTTGTGACAACCATGCGGTGGGCAGAGGTGCCCCATTAATGCCAACCCAGCTAACCCTGGCAGTGCTCTGCAGATAGCTCAGAGTAACAAGTGGCGTGTTCTGGATTCCAACCAGCAACCCTCGGACAATAGGACACTTCCCACATACCAAGCATAGACAACCAATCAACCAATCAACCATCCAATCAATCAGCAATGTATGTATGGACCAGGCTGAATGGAATTTAAACACACGCCATACATGAATTGTAAACAGAGATCAGGAGGTACTTCTTTACACAAAAGGTTGTGGGAGTATGGAACATGCCGCCCAGCCATAGTATTAAAGCCAATACCTTGGCTTTTTTTCAGAAAAGGCTGGACGAGATCCTTGAGTTTACTAGCTACTGGTACATGTAAATAGACTAGACAGGCCACATAGCTTAAGTTGTGAACATATATTGTCAGAAATCAAATGAATGCACTTTAACTGTTTAGACATATTCTTGCTATTTGTTTTATAGAGCCTTTTTTTTTCATTTGACACACTTCCTATAAGAATAATATAATATAACCTGATATTGATATACTGTATATGTCACAATTCTAACCGACTTTACCCTGACAGCAAACTCAACAAAACCTTGTGCAGTTCAATTTTGACTGAGGTTACATAACTACACATTCACTATGCACATTTTACTCTAAAGTTAAAAGTCTTAGGGTTGGGTTTGACTGTAGTCTCACTTTGAAGCTCATATCTGGAACACCATTCAGATTTCCATGTTGCATCGTAGGGATCTTCTCTGTTTTTCTGTATGTCCTTCATTGTCAAAACCTGAAGTGCCCTCTTGCTGTGTCTTCTAAGACTATACTAAACCAAAAGTCATATGTTAATTGAATTTGAGCTAGAATAACAGCTAAAGTCAAAATCTGGTGTCCTTATCACCTTTGTAGGATTTTTCTTTAAGATCCCGCTTATGTCTTTCAAGGATTCAAATAGTTTATTCTCCAAACATCACTGAATTATTAGTCTGTTATTTCCCCAGCCACAATCCTCAATCCTTTCATGAATGGCTTCTGTCCTTCCCCTAAACCAGACTGTGGAATATGAGTGACAAGACCTTCAGTATCTACTGTATATACTGTACCCATAATATGGAACACACTTTCACATTATCCAAGAATCATACTCATTGCATGGTTTTAAAAGTTCCAAAAGACTTTTATGAATTTTTAGTTTTTTTAGTTTTCTGTTTCTAGTTTTATGTACAGAGGTTTGGGATGGATTCATGAAAACTGCTTTATGAAGTGAAGATAGTGGTGGTGATGAATACTATGCAAAGAAACACATAGATTATATCCATTGGAGACCATAGGAACATGCAGGAAGTTGGAAATTAAAGACTCGAAAAATGTAGAAGATAGAAACTACTCATTAAAGAGTAGCATAGTCCCAAAAACCCACACATCCGTTTCTAGATGTGTTAAATATGATGGAATGCTTCTG